CTCAGGAAATGGGCGGATAAGAACCTGATGGTGTTTAACACTGAAAAATGCAAGGTTCTCCACCTTGGAAGGAAAAACCTGCAGCACGTTTATAGGCTTGGCAGTGCTACAATGGCTAGCACTATGGACAAGAGGGACTTGGAGGTCAGAACTGACCACAAGATGAACATGAGCCGTCAGTGTGATGCTGCGGCTAGTAAAGCAAGCAAAACCCTGGCTTGCATCCATACATGCTTCTCAAGCAAATCCCAGGACATCATTCTCCCACTGTACTCGGCCTTGGTGAGGCTGCAGCTGGAGTGCTGCAGCCAGTTTTGGGCTCCACAATTCAAAAAGGATGTGGAGAAGCTTGAGAGAATCCAGACAAGAGCCATGCACATGATCAGAGGTCAGGAAAACAGACCTTACGACGACAGGCTGAGAGTCATGGGACTCTTCAGCCTGGAAATGCACAGGCTCAGGGGTAACCTGATGGCCACCTATAAGTTTTAACAGGTGACCACCAGTACCTGGGGGAATGTTTGTTCACCAGAGCGCCCCAAGGGATGACAAGGTCAAATGGTTATAAATTCCTGCAAGATCGTTTCAGGCTGGACATAAGAAAGAACTTCTTTACTGTCCGAGCCCCCAAGGTCTGGAATAGCCTGCCACTGGAGGTGGCTCAAGCACCTACTTTGAACACCTTCAAGAGAAATCTGGATTTTTTTTGGCTGGGATCCTATGATCCCAGCTGACTTCCTGCCCCTGAGGCAGGGGGCTGGACTCAATGAACTTCCAAGGTCCCTTCCAGCCCTAATGTCTATGAAATCTATGAAACTTCATAAGTGTATGCATGCAAAGTTTAGAAATACTGCCAAAACTCAGAGGAAAAAGAAAAAATAAGCACTTTCCTTCTTCCAGAGGAGGGAGAAACTCGCTAACTGAGGCCTGAGAGTATTTTCTTCAGAATGTAATGGCTAACTATACTTTGGAAGCATGTGTTTGTGAAGATAGCCTTCACAAGGTACAATGATGCAGCACAGTGTGTGTGAATTTGCACACACTGAGTTCTAGCACTTTTGCTGATACTCACAATTTTGCCAAATAACAGCATCATGACATTAGCAAGAGTCTGCTGACTTTTGCTGTTGCTGCTCTGAACCCTAAGGGTAGCAGCAAAGTTATCTAAAACAATGTCAGCTTCATCTGCTACTCCTGCCAAAGAGCTATGAATAGTAGCACAGACAGCACTGGTGTATACAGAGAAAAAGGATTCTAAAAAGACAAGTACCCTCCCCTTATCACATGCAGCAGTGCCCTGGCTGTGCAACTGCAGAGCAGCAAAGAGCATCCTTTTCCTGTAACTCACAAGAAGCGAGGACACTGCTTTGGGAAAAAAGAAAGTACCCTTTTTCCTTCTAGAAAAGGGATATTGGTAGATTTCAAATATTCACTAGCCAAAATACCAAGAAAAAGTCTTGGCAGAATCCCATCACATTCGTCCATGAATCATTCTGGTACCCCCCATCCAAAATCATTTCCAAATCAACTCATGGCTGTTAGATTAGAAGTATTCAGTGTGTTGTTTCCCTATGCCTTCACTTCCTTTTTTATACTTGGCAGGACATATAGCACTTTAAGACTTTAAAGAAGTACATGAAATAAATTAAAAGGTTCAGTGACTAAACTCAACCCAAGTTCTTTGTTCAGGGCCATGGGACAGAACGTTTCTTCCTGCTAAAGCTTGTAATGTCACAGAAACTGAGACTCCTGGAGCCTCTCTGGTAAATGCTGCAGTATTTTGTGCTGTTATTTTTGCTATTGGACTATTACCAGAACATCATTGCAGATATCCTGCAATTCAGCCTCGATTTTCTCACGATACTCTCTTCCCATCTGCTGTTTCTTCTCATTCCTCTCTGTTTTCTGTTCAATGCTGGAAATGACACGCCAAGAAGACCGACGGGCACCAACCACGTTCTTATAGGCAACAGACAGTAGATTCCTTTCCTCATTGGAGAGTTCATGTCCTTGCTCAGTAACAGCCTTCATTGCAGCAGCCATATCATCATAGCGCTCGGCCTGTTCAGCCAGTTTGGCTTTCTGTACCAGCTCACTTTTATCCATTGTTATTCCTGAAAAAGGAGAAAATTAAAATAATATCTTCTGAGAGCACAGGTTGTTGAAACTGGATGGTGAAGTTAAAAAAGAACAATCTGAGTCACAAGTCTTTAGTAAGTGTGACTTTCATCTCCCTGCCCCCCACAACAATGACTTGCTAGAAGGGTTATTAAGTTTTTGTTTTGATTATTACTTCACATAAAGAAACCTCTTCCATTATGTTTCAAATGCTGCAGCCAGCCAAATCAGTCTTGAAAGAACTCTAACACAATCCCTTCAAATACAACAAAATACATGATTTCATATATCAACCTGATCCCCACACAGATCACTCCTGTACATCTTTCTCATCATGACTTCACTACAAGAAGTCCCAGAGGAGAGGGTACACTTTCAAACTCAGAAGAAAGCCAGTTCTTATGCCCTTCTGTAACAGGAACAATGTTGCTACAATCTAAGAATCTGAAACACTGGACAGCTCCTGTTGTCATCCTACACCTTTATTGAACACACTGAATATGTGTAATACTTTTGTACATGATTAAAGACCTGAATCTGTAATACCTGGAAACAAAAGATGTTTTACACTGCTCTGCCAGGAACATTACTCAGGTATTTCTCTACATAAGTTTGTCTTCAAAGTGTGAAGCCTGATGCTTAAGCTAATGCTGTAAAGCAGGGGTTTTCAACCTTTTTTTAATAAGTATACCCCCGGCAGCCCCATTTTTAGTAAATGTACCCCACGGGGGGGGGGGGGGGGGGGGGGGGGGGGGGGGGGGGGGGGGGGGGGGGGGGGGGGGGGGGGGGGGGGGGGAGGAAGTAAGCAGCCAGACACAGAGCAGGGGGGTACCCCCGGTTGACTACCCCTGCTGTAAGAGTATGGAGGACTGCAATGGCAGGCATGCCACAAATTACCCACGCACCCTCCACAAGAGCATCTCTGATCCCCTTCCCCCAGGCCAAGCAGATGCTCTGCTTTTTGCTCCTTGCCCTGGCTTCTCCGTTTCCTAAGTCACAGGACAGTTCCCCAACTACCAGGCTATTGGCTATACCAGGGAGATATAGCTCCTTCCTATAGAAGCTGTCCCACTTTACAGACCATTTTACATGATAGCTCTTGTACCAGGACCAGTACCCAGGCAGGCACACCAACCATTAGGTTAGCAAACCATGCTTAATCTTGTTTACTAAGCTAACTCTGATTGTGGATCTAGCATTGAGACACGTGCTCAAAACAAACTTGTTGCTAAAAGATGTTTCCTGGAAGAGACAGTGCTTTTGCACACAAAGTTTCATAGTTGTCCAGTTCTGTGCCAAGAAGTACTTCCAAACCAGCAGCATTTAGCACTTTAAGGTGCCAAACTGTTAGTCTTTGTATTGAACCTCTCCCTCCAAGACAGATGATGTATGGACAGGAACACTGCAATTTAGCTTTTAATGCTTCGTTAATGGCTCCATCTCTCTCAGGATGGATCTCCTCTAAGGGCACACAGTAGTTGGTTTACATTACACACTAGCTTTTGCAGACTACAACGGTACCAACTGATGGGGGGAGGAAGTTATTCTTAATACAAAGGGAACTTTCTACTAGGAAGTGCATTAACTTAATATGAGAGACCAGTCAAATGGCAGCAGCTTTTGAATACTATTTCCACCACATGAACCAACTCAATTTTTACCCTGTGCTCTGTATTCCAAGCCAATAAGCCATCCTTTGCCTTCCAGACAGCTCCCAAATTACTGATTTATATACTCCACCTAGTAAGTGCTTGCTCTCTAGTGACCTTCTTCCCAATCTGCAGGGTACCACATGACGTTAATATCACAGTGCTTTTTATACTACATGAAAGCCAACCATAGCCAGTGGACCCACATAGTTGTGAGATATTCTTACTTCCTAAAAAAGCTGTATAGCCACTAGAAACATTTTGACTGTAATTGCTCAAAGTTTACCACCATTATCATGTGATCTGGATGTTTTGTTTTACAGAAATACTCCATATACTGAAAGTTAAGGGCAACTTGCTCTGAGGCAGTTGCCATTTCACCATTAAATTGATAGTGTTACATTTTATCTGTATTTTTCCAGCAGTGCTTTAATTTGGGAAACAAGTCACTTTTACAGAACTGAGTTTAGGAACTACACAGTCCTATTAGTATGATGCTTACTGATATATTTATCTTTAAACGCAAGTCCACGGCAGTTACTGAGTTCACTTAAGGACATACTGGAAGATGCAAAGAGGGAATTCAGCAGGCATCAAAAGCCACTGGGTAAAAGTGCAGGTCCAGAAAACAGCTTTGGCTAAGCAGTTAATTTGTCAAATACGAGCACAAAATATACAAAGCATGTTTTCATCATATCTCTTTCCTTAGCTATTTATCCAACTAAATTATGTGCCTGTCCTAAATACAGCTTTAAGCTGCTTACTAAAGTCTGAGTTCCAATTAGAACTGCATTTGTCTATTTTTGCCAAAAATTAAGGACAGTGTTTAAGCCTCAAGTTACGCCTTGATCTGACTAGTCAAGTAGCTAACATCTGCCTTGTCAGGTTTGCTACTGAACTACAAACTACTGTTCAGTAAAATTAACAAGATTTAAATGCTACAAAGTTCTTCCAATAAAGGCAGACATTCCTCCAAACCAAAACACTCGTAACCTGGCAGTAAGCCTACTCTCACTTTCACAAGGGTCAAACAGAAACGGAATACGGTCAGAATCTTATTCTCCACTGCTTACCTTGCTGGAAGCCTGGAGAAAGGTTTTTGCAGAACTATGCTGGCTTGTGCTCCACTGTTCACCAGAAGAGAAAAAATACAAGGAAAGAAGTGACATTTGAAAAAACTAAAGCAGCACCTATAACCTGTCCGTCTCATAAAGAAGCTGAAAGCAATGCTCCAGTTTACAATGAATTAGTGTAGTGGTCTTTCAAGCTTTTGGCCCCAAGAGCCAGTTGAGTGGCCAGGGTCCAGTCCACAGGCTGGAGCAGGCCCCTTGGCACCAGGGTTGGGCCCTGGGGCTGGCACCACTCCCTCCCACCCCCACCTGCTGAGACTGGGTACCCAATCCTGTATGCAAGGTTCAGGGCTCCCCCCAGGGGCTGGATGACATGGTGCCATATCTGGCCTGTGGGCCAGGGGTTCAGCATCCCTGCTTTAGTGTGCCATAGCCTGGAACACACATCTTTGGGAGGCCCATAGTTGAAACTGTTTGGAGGCTACAAACGTTTAAGTCACCTAGTGGGAATCACCTGCAGCAATTATCAACATATACCAGTAACTGGAGTTGAAGACTGACAGGGTCTGTTTAATACAGCACTGACAAAGTCATGCCATGTATGTGGGTAGTTACAGCCATGGAAGACATAAGATCAAGAGCAACATTTGCTAGTTCTAAGCAGAAACTGCTCACTAGAGGAGTGGCCCTAGACTGTATTTCTTAAAATACTATGGTATCTGACCAAAGAAAAAATATGTTTGTAAAATAGGTCTGTAAATTGTATTTATAATGGCCTTGGTTGCTTTAGATAGGAAGAAAAGTTAGAAGCACAGGAGGACAAGGCCGGCTTAAAAAGGGCACCTAACTTCAGAGTATACTCACAGAACTGCAAGTAAGGAGGTGGAGAAATTAAATTAAAGTGTTAGTTACTGATAAGGAGTAAGATGGGTAGACATTCTATTCCCCAAAACATTACATTCAAATAAACCACTTTTTAAGCTCAAGCTACCTGGCAGCGAACATGCCAGCATTCTGGCATTGCTACTTCCAACTCTCCATTATCTATTTAAGTCCAAGTCAAAACAGATCAGAAGTTACTGCATTTAAACACAGTGGAAAGCAAATGAAAAACTGACACTGAAGAGATCCGACTTATGCAATATACTTAACTGGGAAGACAATACTAATAAATTTCCATCAGTCTGAAATCTGCTGTTCTCAAGGACCTTTTTTAAATTGTATTTCTGTATAGCAAGCACTTGAACTAATTAGTCACACACCTCTCTATTAGAGAAAGAAAGTAATGTAATTATTGGTTTAAAAACTTTAACACACAGGCAACAGGCAGAAGAGTGGATTAATACCTTAACCTTTTCCCTCTGGAGAAGTTCGGTTAAATCCACCCTTGGTCAAGTGATAAAACTATATACCTTTGAGAACAAGGCCACCAATCTGCAACTGGAACAAACAACAGGCCCATACTGGAGGAGGCTGCATACTAAAAAATAACATCATTTGGCTATCTCACATTGGATTTTAGCTAGGGACTTCATTAATATGGTAAAACATCCAAACAGAAAAAATCCATATATGAAGCAAATGGTACTTATGCAACTTCAAGGATCAGTTCTACAAGTCAGAAACTCAAATGGGGATTCAGATTACCAAGACAGCCATCTATAAAACAGAAAGGAACAAAAAGGTTCCTTCAGAGGACAGTCACATATCTGTCAATAGTTTTACAGCATCAGTGTATAACGTGTATAATACACCAGGGCTCCTCAACCCCTGCGCCCACAGGGCAAATGCACCCAAACGAGCCTTGGAATCTAGTCTGCAAGGGTCCCCATGAGTCAGGAAATTTAGTTGTGGGGGAATGATGGCTATTAATATGGCCACCTCCCCCTGCCAAACTCCAAGCCTTGCACATCCAGTTAGAATTGGGCTGCAACCCCTTGCCTCTTCCCATGGGGCTGGGTTGGAGCTATGCCATGACTCTTTCCCCACCCCCTCCCCCCAGGGCCAAGCCAAGCCCCCTCCCAATCCTGCAGTGCCAGGTTGGGGATGGACTGGTTCCCGCTCTCCTCCATGTGGCCAGATGATGCTCACCATGCCTGCCAGATTGGGACCACCAAGCAGATCCAGCCTGCAGGGGAAAAAAAGGTTGAGCCCCACTTGGCATACACTATGCCACTGGCATCACTGCTGATGGATTCTCTATTATAGAACTGGAATGACTTTGTTTCTCAGCACCTTCCAAATAAAACACAAGGAGTCCTGTTTGCGCGCTCCCCCCTTTAGAAAAAATAGCACACCTCTTGCTTAGCCCCAAGTTGTGCTCTTTATCTTGACTTAAGGAATTTAGGAGTGGTGAAGGAGAGCACTGGAAACTAAACAAATTATTCATCAACATTTTTCATTCATTTCCTTTCCACAAAAATACCCTATGCATCACTTGAAGCTAATGGAAATAGAATGCTTCCCCCAAATAGCACGTGTATTGCTAAAAATGACTTCCCAGGCAAATATATTTGCCCTGTAAGGTTTATATAAGCACTGAAAGCTTGCCTGCCTTCTACTACTACAAGTCAGGATTACACTACGAGTAATAAAATGTATTCTGCATATTCTCTGGCTTTAAACGAGGCAGCACAACACCAGGCACAGCCCCCCTCCTCATCTTTGTGTCATGAAGCCTCACTACCCTCCCACGTATGACAGACTTGTTTTTTTCCCAACAAACCTTCCACTTTGGCCTTCAACCCAAATGCTGCCCCATACTTCCACATTATCTGAAGAGAAAAACCAGTAAGTACGTCTAATGAACTTTTCCTGGACAACCACCACCCTCCCCTATGTCATCTTTCCCCATCTTTGACACCTCTTGTAATGCTCTTTGTCATGTAGGTTCCTGGGAGCAGGGCCATGCTGTTCTGTTGAAGTCAATATGCACATATATGCATAAAGACAGCTGTAGGTGGAGACAGGAATACAGCTCTTGCCTATAGTGCACTTAATATGGTTACACTTTTTTGTTCCAGTTAGCACAATTGTTTTTGGCTAGCATCCAGATGGAAGAAGTAACTTTTCCAAAAACAAAAATACTTTTCCCTCAGGTGTAAAATTTATGCCAAAACAAAACATTCATAGCAGAGGTAAATCACCTTCAGCAACAATAAAGTGAGAGCATTTATATTATGAGGTGGGATAAAACTGTGGCAATGAGAAACCACACCATTATAGGGCTTTAGTTTTATTATAATGTGCTATTATGGCACCAGGTGAATAAAAATACTAGCCTTTTGTTGCTTCATAATTCAAATCTGTGCTTGTGCTACAACTCAGTTGCATCCTAGTTTATTTGCACACATCATAAAAGCCATGTTCTTGCCCAAATCTGCTTACAAAACCGTCAGCCCTAGAAAAGCAAGCTTACTGCAGATCAGAACATAGTATATTGCTATAACTGTGTTAGAAGGATTGCAGTGGGCTCCAAATATTCTTTATATTTCACCCACTGGTACTTAACACAAGATCTTTATTAAAGATAAAACATAAAATATGATTATATGTTAAGGATGCTTTCTTTGCAATCCTATTTGTAAGAGGCCTACAACCTTGGGATGCAAGCAGTGAACAAAACACTGTTTCCCCTATCCTGCACCTCTAGATTATAGGGATAAAGTGCATCCTAAACTGACAAGGATACATTTTTAATACACTCTGCTTTGAAGGAAAAAAAATATTTAAGAAGCAACAAAAAATATATTGAAATCCTCTAACTAAAGGGCACTGCACATGTGAGATTTCTGACTCAGGTACCTGAACCTCTCCTAAAGCTGTAAGAGTTTTACAAGCTAACATATTTCCAAGCTGTTAAAGTTAAATAGAATTTAGCTTTAAAAGCATAACACAACACTCATTTTGCTCCTCTACTACTGTGTTACTATAACTTCAAAGAAACTAAATGGAAGCACTTATCCACTTGCTGGGAACCATTACTTACATGAGACTTTGCTGGCGGTGTATTTGCGAGAGCACTGGGATGCTGCTGACTACAAATGCTTCTAAGCAGGCACTGGGGATTGTTATGAGCTCTGGACACTATTAAGCATTGGGCCCTGGGCTAGAAGTACCTTTGCCTGTCTGGCAGCCTCCCCAAATCCAGCTCTGCTTTAAACAGAAAGAAAAAAAAAGAGAAACCTTTCCCCACTTCTGTATTTGTATCTCACTCTATACAGCCTTCAAGACAGGCACCTGCACCTGCTGGAGACCTCTCTGGGATATCCTCCTTGAAAAAGGCAGAAGCAGCCATGGAAAGCGCCTCACCCCCTGCACTAGCAGAGGACGCGAGGGGACCTCAGCCCAGGAAGCTGACTGGGAGGCATGTCCCAAAGCCGTGCCAAGGCAGGGCTGGGCGAGGGCAGGGCTGGTGCTGCGCCCGCCCGAGGATGTCGGGCCCCGCCCCGCCTGCACAGGTGAGCGCGGGCTGGAGCCCGGGGAAGTGACTTAGGCGGGTGGGGCGGGCGCTCCCGCGGGAGGCGGCGCTCCCAGCTCCCACCCGGCAGCGCAGCGCCTC